CATACAAAAATGAAAATCTATTGTATTCATATAGAAACTACATTAGCCGGGGATTTGGCTCAGTGGTCCCACCACCTGCCTCGCAAGCGCAAAGGCCTGAGTTCAATTACCAGTATAAAAAAACCCAAACAAAAAACACACAAATTTGAAAAAAAAAGTGAAAATTTATAATGTTGTAGTTTTATATTTATTATTTTATGTGATATATGTGTCATTGCTTGTTAGTCCCAAAACAAAGTTTTCAGTCTTATACAGTGTAGTACATTTTAATATTGTTTTCATTTGAACTGAAAATATTTTTCTATAACTGAAGAAAAAAGGAATAAAACAACCCAAACCTCCATCAACAGATGAAATATAAAACAAAATGTGGTATGCACATGCAACAGAATATTAATCAACCTAAGGAAAGGATTACTGTCACAAGCTACAACATGAATAAAATTTGGAGAAAATATGCTAAGTGAAATAAAGTAGTCACCAACGGAAAAGTATTGTATGGTCCCAATTATGCAAGCTATCTAAAGTAGACATGTTTACAGAAATATTAGCGTCACTGTCAGGTGCTGAGAAAAAGTGGGAAAGGGAATATATTGTTTAGTGAGTACAGGTTCCGGATTGAGCTTTATAATTAAAATGACTACAGTAGTATATTTTACGCCCTATGCTTTTCTATCATGATAAAACATTTTGAGAAATATTTGAATATTTCAACAGAAATATTAAATGCAAAAGGCAGCGAAATCTCTTTCACATGAGGAAAAAAATGTGAAGAAAAATATATAATAAAAGCATATCAAGTGAAGAGTATCAGAATTAATGCTTTAGGAATCTTTCACACTTTGGGAATAGGGCAAAGATACTAATTAACATAAGTCTATTTAAAATGTAGACTGATGGAAAGAAAGTACCAAAAAATACAATATATATTTAAAACTTTAAAACCAACAATAAAAGGGAAGTTAGAGAAAAATAATATAATTTGGAACATTGTATAAGAAGGCAAACAGAGAAAACAAAAGAAGGGGATGACATACAATGTGCCTGTTAAAAATCACACAAATGTAAATATTCTAATTTTACATGCAGACAAAAATCATCACAAACCAAATAAAAATAAAATTGAGTTTAAGCTGTGTAAAAGGGATACACCTGGGAAAAAAAGGTCACAAACTGATATCTAAAGCAGGACAGAATATACCAGGCAAAAATACTAATCAAAAGAAAGCACGGCTTTATTGAAACCAGAAAAATAGAGGTTTAACAAAAACACAAGTAGAGATAAAGAAATTCACTGTATAATAAAAATTTTAATCAGAAAGATATAATAGATGATATATATATATATTTTTATATAATGATTCAGCATAAAATATATAAAACAGAAATGAAAAATTGTAAGGGGCAATTAACAAATATATCAAAATAGTGATTAATATTAACATAGCTTTCTAAATATTTGATATGCAAACCAACAAGAGCAATAATTTAGAGAACATATGAACAGTACAGTTAGAAAAATTAATGTATATATATAAAAGTTGTAAATACAACCTTTGAACAGAACAGATTCTTATATCAAAGATTATTTTTATGCATATTGGTCACTTCTGAAGTCATACCCAGTCTGAGGCTATTTGAAACACTCAGGGAAGAGGCTATAATTCCCATCCAGAGATGACTAAAGGGCAAATTAGTTTAAAAAAGATGATTACAAAAACAATGTATACTTGCAAATAAAAACACACATTTACTAAAAAAAGTGGATCGAGAGTAACAAAAGAAAATCATTAGAATTACAAAGTAACAATAATAAATATGTCAAGCTGTTACAGATACAGTACTATATAGGGAAAATGATTGCCTTAAATATTTATACTGGAAAATAAAACATCCTTGAAATTAGGAGCTAAACTTCCAATTTAAATTAGGAAAAGAGAATATTAGAAGAAAAAGTAAAGACACAAGATATGAAAACAAATTTACACTGTTCATTGGCTATTTATAAGAAACCAATTTATCTATTAATATTTTTATATAATATTAAGAAAAATAAACGATGATAGTTTTGTTGTTTTTTTCCTATTAGTAATATTTTGGAAAATATAGTTTTACTGGTAAAAATTTATATAAGAAAAATGAATTAATTTTGAAAGCTAATGGGATGGGTATTTCAACTAGCAAGAGAAATTTTTATCTTGCTGTTATGACATAATTTACTTGAATTTTATTCCAAAGCTTCAGAATGTGTAAGGTACTCTTTTTCAAAACATGCAATTTAAACTTCCCCTCAAAATTTAGCATCTTTGAATTTGGTCTTCAGAAACTTTCTAATAAAGATTTTCATATGTTTGGGGGCGCTTATTTAAAAAACCTAAGTAGAAACTGATTAACATATAAACCACATTACAACAGAGTTGTCTAATTATTAAATATAACTATAAAGATCCACGGATGCATTAATGTATCTCAAGTCAGCTGTAACTGTGTGCATATAAAAGTATTTATGATATACAAATATTTTACCCAAAACGTTTTTATTGTAGCTTTTGTAAGGCCCCAAACAGCTCCCCATCCATGACATTTCCTAACAACCTTCAATCATAAGGAATATCAAGCATGTTTGTAAAACTGCAATGGCGCTGTACCAAAGCTATTGAGTGTATTTAAACAATTCCCAAGGAATTTGACAAGTCATACAATGACTGGTAGAAAATAATCCTTCTTAATATATTACAGACTTCAGGCTTGAAATTCTCCTTTAAAACAGAATCCAGAATTAATACACTTGCAAACTTCATTTTGTAAAGATTTTAAATTTATAACCAAGCAAATTAAATGATAAGAGAATTTTTTTCTACTTTTTCAGTTCTTGCATGTTTAATTCCATTTTCTTGCCTTAACCTGCTGACTGTGAGTTCCAACAAAACACTGAAAATAAAATGGAGGTAATGGAAATTCTTGGGGGTTTTAAAAACTTTCTCAATAGAAATACTTTCTCCATTACCCAGTGACAGTGGTATTTATGCTAATATTTTTTATTCTCCAAGATTTAAAGGTATCTTCTTTCCTACTTAGCTCATGTTTTGTTGTTTTTACTAAAATAGTAATAGAATTTTTCTTTATTTGAGATACTCAATTATCATATAGACACATATTACATAGATAGATTGATTATA